CGCACGTTTTTGTCCCGCAAACAAGATCTGCATCGAATTGCAAACGCATTTTGCGGGTCGGGATTTTACGGGATCTGCTAGAGTTGCTCTCAGCGCCACCAGCTATGCAAGCAACCACATGCACATGAGCAACAGCATACGGTACGTACGTACACCTCCAGGCGAGTGCGATGCTCGAGGTGGTGGGAGTGCTCCGTTTCACCACAGTCCTCACTGGGGCATACAGAGATGATACATGCATGGCACCAGTAGTGGGAAGGTTAGGAGTGTTCATGGGGATGCAGAATCAATGAATGAGTTATGATAGAACTCGCGTACGCGTGCTGCAGGAGATCCATCGATGTGCTACAGGGCTAGCTGCTGTAGATGTGCATACGATCGACGAGATATGAGCATTTGGGTGCATTGGAAATGGACCATGGGCAGGGGAGGAGAAAGACTAGTATGCAAGGGGTGGACGAACTGGGGGTACCCGAGAGGAGAGGGCAACAGCCCGGCTACTGTTTTTTCGAATCTGTTTGTCTGTCTATCTATCTATCTCTCCCTAGATCTTGAGTTTCATGGTGCATCGAGGACTATATGGGCCCCGCATATAAGGATGTCTGTCACTCATTGAGATTTTTGTGTCTGTTTATAGAAACCCAACGACCCCGGACACATGCCAAGTACACTGGTTCGATGTACTCCAAAACTTTGTACGTAAAGGTTTTAGTGGCCGGCGATATGGCACATCATATGATGTAATTAAATTCTTGTAATTCGAACTTTAAAAAATACGAATAGGTTCTCCCATGTATTGTAGAATAGTTGCTGTAAAAAACTCACATCTATGTAGCCCTAATAGGCCCGCCGGTTTTCTCGGTTTTGAAAAGGTTCTGCTTGGTTTTTTTATTTTCTTTCCTTTCCATGTTTACTCTACCAGTTTTGACAGTTTTTCCATTGGTTTTGTTCTTTCTTTACTTTTTTATTTCACTTTTTATTTTTTCCTCTCTTTATTCAGAATTTAATTCAGAAATATTAATTAAAAATATAGTTTTTAATTAGAATTTTTTTTGTAATCCATGACCACGTCACTTGTTTTGGATCAGAGGGTATAGCATTTTTTAATACCATCAATATTTTTAAAATTCTTGGATATTCTAAAGGTTTATAGCTTTTTTGAGTTTGTGAATTTTTTTAAAATTTGAGAACCTTTTTTAATTAGGAACATATTTTTTAATTCATGAATATTTTTAAAATTCACAAGAAGTTAAAAAATTCAGTTTTTTAAATAACAAAAATTATTAAAATCCAAGATGTTTGAAAAACATATACATGAACAAATTTTGATTTAACAAATATTTTCAAATAAGAAATGATAGCCGATTCTTTTGAGCTAAACCTACAAGCGGAGCAAGGAGCCGAGCTAAGCAAGCTAGAGTTTCATGGGCCAGCCCATTTGAGCGTAGTAGGAACAATTTCACGGTTTCAGCATGTAATAGGAACTGCCAAGCAGCTCACACAAGCACCACCCGCTAACACCGAGGCCAAAACATGCAAAGACAACACAACCATGCACCAAACAAATTCACTCTACTTTCAGAACAAATACTATTTCCAATAACATCCAACACGATATATGAACAAACAAACAAATGCTAAATCATAATTAAAACCCAGGCCATTCAGTTGAAACCAAAACTAACCATCGATCCAATAACTTGCTTGATAAAAGACGATTTAAATCCATTAGAGAATAATGGAGCGATGAAGCACATGTTTGCCTCTAACCTTGCTATCCATCTGAAGTGCATTCCACTCACTTTCAGAGGTGCAAATTTGATGTTAATGTGCATGACTATGATATTTAAGTTTGCGCGCTATTCATTTTGTTGCTTGTTAGTTCCAAACCTTATAAATCAAATTGTTTAAAAAAGGGAAGGGTCCAGAAGGACCTGATAGTACATTAAATTAAAGGGATGGAGCAGAACAACCTCTAAGCAGGACACTAAGAAACTCACAATTATACAGAAGTCCATGAAACTTGTAAACCGACCACCTAACAGAAATGCAAGGATGCAATCATGCCCAAAATTACTCTCGAGCAACACCAATCTCCCTAGCTCCGGGAACAGGCCCACTTGATTCGGTAAGTCCTGAAAAGCTACATGTCATGGACACTACCTTAATGCAATATTGTCTCCCTCTTTGGCATCATGGCCGTGAGGAAAAGAACTTGGCCACCCTTCAGCCATAAAGTTGATGGCTCATCGGAGCAGATTGGCCATCCACCAAGATCATCGCTGCTTCTCCAAAATCACCTTCCTTGATGATCACAGTCCCCATCTGCAGCATTACCTCCCCTCGACTATTTCTTCTCCAACTCGAGTATGTACACAACGACCGAAGATGAGGAACACCCATGGCAGAGCAATCAAGAATCAACTATTGCATCTACAACCACACCCTCGTTCGTCGATTGGACCAAATGCGGTTTTTGATTGGCAGCAACTATAGAATGAATCAATTGGTTGACATATGGTTGTGCTTGGGCAGGGATTTAGTATCATGGAAACTCATTCGTTCCAGAGTTTTCCCCACTGGATCCTTGCACAAAGAAATCTTCAAAGAGGCCCCTCGAGTGAAAATGATTGGGATTTGGAAGACCAAAATTCTGGCTGAAATCATAATATTTTTGTGGCTAGTGGACTGGAACAAAATTCCTGGTGGGTACCAAGTGATCAAAATACATGGTCCGGGCAATGGCAAATGTGTCTGATGTGGAGAGATAAGAAAATCAACCACATCCTATTTTGATGTATCACAGCAAGATGTCTGTAGAGTGTTATCCATGAGATAGCGGGATGCACATGGAACCCGGCCGGGTTTGCGGGTTTTTATCAACTTATTCAGGGGATGAGTGGCAAGGATAGAAGGCTTGCTTGTAATACCTCTATGGTGCTTGCTTGGTTGTTATGGACATCGCGTAATAAAGCTCTTATGAAGGGGCATATGTTTAAACACCCAACGGATCTCATTTATAAAATGATGTGTTATTGCAGCTGTGGGAGCCTATGGGAACACCACAGGACCAGCCGCACATTGACCTCTTCATCGACAAAATCCGAACAAGGTGTCGGGAGCTTCGTTCCACATGGCGACAAGCAAGGTAGTCAGAATCCCGAGTCAACACCTAGAAACCTATGACTTCACGAGCCTATGGAAGCGTGTTGATCCAAGTCCCACTATGGATCTGGATCAGGTAGAATTCATGTTGAGGCACAATCCAAATCATAGGATCCTGTGCAAAACTGTAGAATCCCGACTATTGTATCGACCATGTCCAATTCGAGTAATTTCTCAAAGCCATTTGTTTAATTGTAGCACAATAGTATGCCATCATCCAAACCCCTTTTCACATGCATCATGGCCCTTTATTCCCCTTTGAAGCCTAAACACTCAGTCGCCGACACCTTTGATCTAGTCCTAAGAAACCGTAGACTAGAACTGAGGATCAGGCTTGTTGATGAACTGGATTGGCATGAGAAGGAGGAAGCGTCGGGATTGATCGGAGAAGGAGAGCAAGACCCTTCAAGGTTCAGCACTGCAGGTCAGCTATACAAGTGATCGGCTATTCACATGCTCTAAAAAAGAATCTAAGTAAATTTCGTGCGTTGAATATTTAAATGTTCTAAATATTTTCCTCTCATATATGTTCCATACATGCAGGCTAGATAGTAGGTTAGCCATGAAAAGAAGTGGAATACAACTTGCATTGATGTGTACGTCTTTTTGCTCGATAATTAGTATTAGAACTCAATAGAACCCATATGAATTTCTTGTGTGGATACAAAATATCTTATTTGAGTAAATCTACTATAATCCTCGATTCCACAACTCGATTCTATTGGAGGAAAATCGATCCAACTCCAAATCCCGACTCTGACTACCTTGGCGACAAAACAACACAATCTAGGGGGGCTTCTTGCCCGGTGCAAAAGCGTGCTACTGGGCGGCTCGTGGGCATCATTCCGCCATTGATTAGTATTTTTGGTCTCCTCCGTTGCTTGTTTTAAACTATATCGATGGATGCATGACCTATGCAATGCTGCCACTTTATTGAGATTAGTGTGAAGCCTTGATGACATCGTATGTCATCTTAGCTGAAGAAATCAACAAGGGCTTGATTGGGTAGAGGCCTCTCTTGCATCTTCCTTGTAGAAGAATTAGTTACGTTGCTTGATCCTTAGTAGAATACAATTTGAAAATCCTAATTACTCCCTTCGTTCCAAAATGATTGAAGTTATTGGCTTGTCCAAAGTCAAACTTGTTTATCTTTGACAAACTCTATAGAAAAATGTGCCAACATCTACAAAACAAAATACACATAGTACGGAAACATATTTCATAAAGAATCTCATGAGACTAATCTCATGTTTTAGATGTTAATATATTTTTCTATAGACATTAAACAAGTTTGACTTTGGACAAGCCCTTAACTTCGATAATTGGGACGGGGTACTAGTAATTAAGCTCTCAAGAAGAAATAAGTTCTTCTTGGCACCAGAAATATACAAATCATTTTTTAGATGAAGTTTATTAGCTGAGGTATGAACAGTTGCGCTTCCTATGTAGTAAGAAATGTCTATACCGGTCCGGTTGGGTGTGCGTCATCGTAGCCAGTGTACCGGTACGTGAGTGGTCAGCTTGTCTAGCTCCCGGGTCATATGATTTGTTGCACCCGAGTCAACGTACCGGTTTGTGTCAACAAACGCGTGGCTCAAAAATGCTAAACATACAAACAAATACATGATTTTACAGGCTCTTTTCATCTAATAATCAATCACAAACTTTGCCCCTCTGATTTTCAGGGGTTGGGCCGTCTTCCTCACCAATTGACCAATCAAATTAACCCATTCTGTAAAACCATGTAACATGTTTGTACATGTAGCATTACTGTGTATATGTCCGAGCAATATAGCGGCATGCAGCACCAACCAATCTACATCATATACACACATCTATATCAAGCTGTTGTACTTGTAGTGCTCCTCCTGCACCTGCAGCTGATCATCGCCACCGTCTCTCAAACACGCCGCTGCACTGCGGCCGCCATGGAGTTGCTGGCTGAAGTCGAGGATACTGTCGTAGCTCAGCAGTTGTGGCATGACGGCAAAGGGGTCGACATCGCTGACCGAGACGCCTGCTGCGCCGTGTGGGTGCTGATGATCACATGGCAGGAGCTGGTAATTGTGGCCGCCCGCGCCGATGGAAGGGAACGGGGCCATAGGCGACTGGTGATACTGTTCCGGATCGTGGCAGGACGAGGAGCTTAGGTAGTTGGATCCGCTCACGGCACCGCTGCCGAGGTCCGCCTTGCCGTCCATGGCGTAGTCCGTGTCGGCTTTCTTCTTGTGGAAAACTCTGCACAACACCCAGTCCTCCTGCACAAAAAAATTCAAATGCAAACGTGCATATTAGCACGGCTTATCAATTAAAATCTCAGATGACATCAGATTTATATTGCAATTGAACCCACCTTGGGTGGGGAATGAGGGTTCTCGATGCGGAACTCGTGCATGACCCAGCAGGTCTTGGTGCCGTTGGGGGCACGGCCGCGGTAGAACACGAGGGTCTTGCGCATGCCGACGATGGTGGCCCGGCCGGAGCGAGATGACGACGACCTTGGGCTCCGGATGACGCGGTCCTTGCCTGTGGCCTTCCAGTAGCCGGACCTGGTGGCGCGGTTCGTGCGCAGCCCTGTCGCGTACTTGCGGTCTCGGAAGCTGAAGAAGTACCACTCGTTTGCGCTCAGCTTTGCTACATCTGCATACCACCATGGCCAGCCAGACGCACAATTAGCAACAGAAGCATCAGTGGACGTTGATTAGGATTTCCCCCACAAGTGTATACTCAAACGTATGTGCATAATTAGATCATATACATCCTGTTGTACAATTACACATAGAAAGAGAAGTCGAGGGGCAACGTAAAGTATGCACTAGTCCTTTTAAGTTAATTAGGAAAATTTGAGTATGAAGTTTCGAAACATTGTGGAATTTAAAGTTACTTTGTATAAGTGCTCACATAGGGGAAGGGGTGGAAAAATAGTGCTGCTATGAAAGGCCACTTGCAAGCCAATTATTCCTTAATTAATCCAAAGAATTTTACATACTCCAGTACTGCAGAGTGAGACATTAGGGTCTGTCTAGGACACATCTAGATGTGACATAACTATGTCGCATCTAACCCGATGTTCACTATGTTTGTGGTCTTTTTTTTTGTCCCAACTTTTTTCTTTGTTTCTTGTTGCTGCATTATTTATGGGAGGTTAGATGTGACATCGTGAAAAAACATCTAGATGTGAATTAGACAAACTGGAGACATTAATTATAGGAAGTTCATGCTTGCAGTGGTAGCCCACTTAAAAATCTTAAGAGAAACTTGTGCTAGAAGCTAAAAGCAACACAGTACTTGCAGGAATTGCATAGGATCGAGATGGTATATGCATGTAAATACAACCGGTATGACAAGTTGATGAGTAGTACTACTAATTTAGAGCGCTAATTAACAAAAACGAGGACGGGCAAGCCCCAATTGGAGCCAATAAAATGCGGTTGCGTGCTTAGTTAATCATTCCATGGAATGAAGTTAAATTAATTAAGAGACAAGTAGCTTGCTGTGGAGAGGGACTAACAACAAATTGGATCGAGATTGATCGACATGTAAAAACTCTATTTTCTTAACTGAAAATGTGGGCCTCCACCAGCCTCCTTTGATCGAAAAAAAACCCAACTAACTGTAGTAACTAATAGTAGCAAGAAACTGACCTGGCAGCTCCCATGGCTCGTGGACGTGCAGATCCACCTCCACCATGGTCCCGGCGGCTCCTCCGCAGCCGGCGAAGTGCTGGTTGGCCACCTTGCTCTGCAGGTAGTGGCACACCAGCTCCTCGTCGTTCGGGTAGAACCGGAACCCTGGCGGAAGCGTCATCTCGATGTCTCTCAGCCCCATGGAAATGCTTATTATCTCTATCTGTGAACTATCTTCTCTTTGAAACCTTCCCCTGCTCAGCTCAGCTCGACTCTATCTACAATTTGTATTGTGAATTGCGATGTGTACTATGGGTTTGGATGAGAGATCTCTATGGATCTCGAAGAATTGAGTATGTATGAACGAGGTTGGGATTGGGAGGTGGGCAGGAAGGAAATATATATAGCTTGGCGCTGCCGCTGCCGGAGCCCCCGGACCGGAGGGAATAATTGTATGTAGCTAGGAGGAAGAAGTGTATGGGAGCAAGCAACACGGCCGGGGTGACGATACAATAGTACTACTACAAAACCTTGTCTACCCTGTAGCTCGACCGGTCCGGCCGGCGGTCTCCATCACCCATTCACCCTCCCCTCCCCGCGTGTGTGCGCCGCCGGTGGCGCGGCCGGACGGATCGAAAGCCAGCCAGCAATGGAGTAAGCACTCTACGCATTAACTGCCAGGCGCGCACGGGCCGGGCGATGCTTGCGCAGCACGAACTCCGAGTGATGTGGTGGTGGCAGAGAGGGAGAAGAGGGGAGGGGAGGGAGGAGGTGATCCAGGCTCGCAAGGAAGCCCCGGTTTGCTCGTCCGGAGCCCCACAGTGATGTACGCAGCAACATACTGTATATGCGACTGTCGACGCGGCCGCATTTAGCATCAGCCAGGGCTAATTATTAGTCCATCATCACATACTCCACATATAGTAGCGCTGTTCATCCATTTCATCATCACCATCATCTCTCTCCCCCTTTCTAAATTTCTCTCTCTCTCTCTCTCTCTCTCTCTCTCTCTAGATCTCTCTTTCTCTCTCCCGGCCTTTATGTGTTCGTACGTGTGTGCCTTGTTAAATTTTGCTTGCAAGTAAGTCAATGTGTTCGTACAGACAATTACCAGGCGATCGATTAATTAGTATGTTACTTGATTAAGCAACCAAGTAATTACATATCTATGGGGCATACATACAGCTGGGGGGTTAATTATGGACAGTACGTGTGATTAACTTAAAGCAAGGTACGCGCATCGATCCACATATCCAGCTAGTCTTACAGTATTATCATTATAATCTCTTATAAAACGAGAAGTACGATTTGATCTTAATCTCATGTGTCCAACACTGTGTAGTACTGCTGTCGTTCTTTTCTTCTGCCACGAGAGAAACGTAGAAATCTAGTGGACCTAACGATGCGATAAAGGTGGTAAATACGTACGTGTGTACGTGCACGCCCGCGCTAAGGAACTGCGATGTCACCGGTAGTTTCATCGTTTCAGCAAAGCATCTAGTCGGCCCTATGCAATGAAGCAGATAACGATATGACGACGGCAGATACGATCGATATGTATTCATGTGTACGTGCTAAGCTCACCACGATCAGATTCTCTCCACCGGAGAGAGAGAGAGAGAGAGTGTGTGTGTGTGTGTGTGTGTGTGTGTGTGTGTGTGAGAGAGAGAGAGAGAGAGAGAGAGATGGATGGATATGGAGCAGCAACAGTCTGTGTACGTACGTTGATTAGGGCACATGCAGCCACCCTATTGAAGCACAGTATGTACGATCAGCACGACGGAATAAAGGGTGGCACGCGCCTATATATCCTACGTACGTGTACCGACCATCAGCCAGTGATCAGTGCATATCATGGTATGTACGTACACGGTACACGCCAGGTGTACATGCATCAATGTGGCTGTTGGAGCATACGCATCAAACACTTCCTGCAGCCAGTCCGCCCAGTCCCGTTTATATGTGTGCGTGTCTCTCTTCAGTACTCCCTTCATTGACCTAGATCCACGACAAGAATTATAAAACGGAGCGAGTACTATATATGCGGTGCAGGTAAACAGAAGCATCAATCCGGTTTGGTGATCTTTCTCTACGTAGGCTCATGTGTACTTTTACTTTCTAACCAATCCTTTCAGGAGTCTGTGTTATTTGTACATCAATTACATCAAACACACAATGCTTGTAAAACAACTTCCTTTTAGACAAACCTTATAGAACAACTTCCGGGCAAGTTCTAAAAAAAAAAACTTCCAGACAAGGAAAAACAAGCAATCAAAACGGAAACTCCCAAGGGCATGCACATTCGGCGCACACATGCATGCGGCCATCCATTTGCTTCAAGATTGCTGCACTAGTTATGCCATGAACTCTTACTCGCTACACTGGGTCCATACACGTCAGCTTTTGACAGAGTTGCATGTGTCGCCCTCCCCCACCTCCAGGTTATTTTTACTTTATCTTAAAACTTGAAACCATTGTATCTTTTAAATGTCAGTCAAAATTAAGTTTTGTTTGCATATTCGTGTTCGTGTTCGTGTTCGTTTAACGAGTACTTTCGAATAATACAAATTTTAAATACATTAAGACACCTTTTAAACCAGCCTCCCCCTCTGATCCGAATTAATTGACACATTCTCTATACAATTTATAGAGGACATTGTATAGAGGATGCATTAGATAATTTGGATCAGAGGGAGTACCAACTTTTAAATATTAAAACCTCATAGTTGTAATATCATGTTTTACAAAATTTCGCAAAGTTATACCCGATGTCATTTTCCTTTTAGAAACTTATCGATTTTAAACTTGCTGAAGTTTTTTAAACTTGTCAAAACTTTGAAGCCCCACATGGTTTTAAGTTTTAGTTACGAAACATATTGGTTTTATCGTTCATTTATAGTAAATTTTAGCAGTTGAAACTTAGCAAAATTTTGAAAATATGTCAAAACATATTCAAAATTGGTCTTATTTTGAAGCCTTGTCACAAGGAACATGAATATGTAGACATAATATAAATTGGACTTTTGGTTCAAAAGATATAATAAATTTAAATTTACAAGTAAAAAAACATGGGACGTGGGATGAGTGAGCCATGCACTCTATGAAATCTACATGCATGGAGCCCCTTTACAACGGCCAAATCTACATGAGTCAACCCCCTTTACAACTATTAAGCCCTAAGCACTTGCGGGGGACTAGACAAATTTGCGAATTACAACACAATCGAGTGGCCACAGATCTGTGTGACACTTTGTCCATGTGCGCCACAAATACTCTCCCAAGGATCCTTGAAATGATGAGAGCTATCCTCAATCTCCACGGCCAACACCGCAAGAGGGGAGGCTCCACCGCATTTGGAAAATGCCCTTGTTCATTCCGGACTGGTCCAGAATGGGCACGCCACCATCTATCTCTGGCACTGAAGAGAACCCCTACTCTCTTACCCCGCTTCGAAGACGCCACACTATCAACAGACATATTTCTTCACCCTATAGCCTAAATGAGCATCTCGCAACCAAGCTTCCTGGAGAGAGGACTTCAAGAATGCCCATCACACAAGCCGAGCTCCTCATGAACACCGCCATCACCCATTGCACAAACCACACAAATGATCAAAAGCTACAAGATGCACTTTCAAACGAAAAAATGTGTAGAGAGGGTAGGTATGAATCACTGAAACATCAAACTCTCACCAACCCGTATGTGTTGCAACATGTTGTCAAAAGGATCCCTATCCCCACTTGTCTAGGCTTGAGGGAAACACCCTGTTGGCTAACAGGGCCACGGGGTAGAGAGCGATATCATACACCAGAGCTTATCAGACTTGTTGTAAGATGTACTTGTCGCTTTGCAACCATGCTGTCATTGAGCCTCGATACCTAGACGATGCCTCCAACGAGGGATACAACCGTGTTACCGGCACTCCCAAATGAGGGACAATGGTTTACCTGGAATGAGATTGTGCTCGTGGAATAGTCGTCGATGTGTCCATGACCACTAGACAAGTGTTTTCATTGACACCATCATCCACCCTGAACAACAAGTACATCCTGCAAGCCCTAGACTGCTAGAATCGGAGCTGGCTCAGAGAGGCGTGCAACACATACATGGACATGTATTTTTCGGATACGACACCAAGTTGGAGGGCAAACATAAGTGGTGGAGACTTTGCCCGCCATCACCTCTCGCTGCCCACGCAGCCGACCAAGACCAAAAAATGCCACCCACCATAGGCTCGGCGATGTCATCTCCACCTTGGTCCACCGTCCTGGTATGCATCCAGATCCCACCACGCAAGACCCTTGCAACCACCATAGCCTCGCCACTAGCATCGCAAAAGAGACCCTCGCAACCACCTTCATCGGTGCCTCACGGGCTTATCTGTTGCCACCTGTGATGGCAGCAAACTGGAAAATGGTGGGACAACGATGGGCCAATCTTTTGCTTCTGAGTCAATGCCGCCAAGGAAGCACCAAGAGGGGCAAGTCGTGACTTACTAGGAACCTTCTCCTCTAATCCACTATTTTAGGAGCTACTTATGAGGATGCATGAGTTACCTAAAGTCTTTTCTTGATGACTATAAGGGGGAGATGGATATTGCAAGATTTAATTGTGGTTTCATTACCTTGGTACCTAAGAACAATGATGCCAAGAAAATTCAAAATATTATACCAATTTGTGTTTCTGAATAAGTGTTTTGATATCATCACCAAGGTACTTATAATAGATTGAGCCTAGCAGTTGATCCTATCATTTCACATTACTCAAATTGTCTTTATTTAGGGTAGATACATCATGGAGGAGGTAGTCGTTCTACATGAAGCCCTAAATACTATTCATCATAAAAAGCGAAGTGCCTTGCTATTCCAAGTTGATTTGAAAAGGCATATGAAACAGGGCCATTGCATTTTTGCCCGTAATTCGAACCCACTACTCACATTTACCCCTAGTTATTTTGTGTTCTTTTCAACATATGTCTATAATGACCATAATAAATTTCCATAAATGTGTACTTTAGTATTTTTGGGATGCCATTGAGAAGACATGATCATGCCTCAAGGTTTTTACCTATAAATTGGGGGTTATCCTCTGAAATATTTAGGTAATCCTATTTTCAGTGTGAGGGTTAGAAACAAACATAGGAAATGAGTGGAATATAAGTTAAAAAAGGTACTAATGTTAGTAAGGGGAAAATGTTCAACA